AAGTGAATTCAAGAAATTCTGTACAGCATTGTCCATCGATCAAGTGACAACACCAGTTTATCATCTAAGATCGAATGGACAGACAGAAAAATTCGTGGACACATTTAAACGATCCTTGAAGAAAAGTCAAGACGTGGACACAAATGAACAGTGTATTCAGAAATTTTTGGCAGTGTACAGAATCACGCCAAAGCCGAATACGACGTCAGGATTATTGCCAGTAGAGTTAATATGTGCAAGAAGAATACGCTCTGTTTTTGACAGGCTGTTGCCTAGTCCGGTGAAGAAAACTGCGAAGAAACAAAACTACATGGCTAAAGTATATAAGCCAGGAGATAGTTTTCTTCAAAAGTTTTAGGGATGGAAAAGCGTATTGGGAAGAAGGTGTAATAACCAAAAGAATTGGTCAAGTCATATACGACATAAAAGGAGAAAAATTCCCTTGTAAAAGACATTGGAATCAGTTAAAACCCAGACAGACTATAAAATACCGAAGAGATTCCAATGGAAGTCTTATATGACGCCTTTGATATTCCCGTGCCAGTGAGTCAACATTCGCCAATGGAGGTATCCCCGATCAAGAGAACAGCAGAATGCAAGAAGAAACAAAACGGAAGGGTTTTACATATAATCTGGAGATTCTTCTCTTTCTGGAGAAGCCATGTTTAGGACACCAAATTCAAAATCGCTGGATACATCGATTAAATACCAGCCGAGGATATTCCACGAAGGGGAAACGGTATATCTTGGGTCTTCTCAAATTGAAGACCGCAAACCAGAGTTTCTTTTTATGTGTTGGACAAATATATTCCAAAAAGGGAACGGCACCATGGACTTGTAAGTTGAAGAAGGCAGATTTGATCTCAACCCGAGCCACTTGGCCCAGGCTAAAAAAAAGTAACCACTCGGTTTGTCTGCTGTAAACAAGCTGAAGGACTGGCCATTCTCATCATTGTATGTAGTGACGACATTAAGCGGCCGTAACGTGACCAATGGGACTTATATCTACTAAAGGGAGATAATCGTTTTCTGTATCGCTACAGCATGTTGGGCTTATTTTTAAAATTATTCCTGAATATTTGTATAGGTAGTTTCTGAATATTAAAGTTAAGTAAAAATTAAGTAAGGATTACAAATGGTGGTCCAACTCGTACCGATGCCCTAAACGAAAACAATAACAATAAATTAAACATTAACAATATTTACATATAGTTAAACATATCTTACTTTTAAAATATTATATAGCTGTATCACTAGTGTATAGGTAATTCGAAAGTCTCGGTGTATTGGAAACTTTTGATGACACATAAAATAATTACATAAACACGTTATATATATATATATATATATATATATATATATATATATATATATATATATATAATTTACATGTGACATATATTTCAACGCCACCTCTGTTTCTTCGGAAACTTCAAGTGTCCATTGATAGCAGACGGCCACGGCCTCAGGATGAAGTCAAAGTGATTTAATGTCTTTTTCAACGAAGGCTATTCATATTTTTCTCGCGTAACGTTGATGTATTTGGAAAGGATTAATGACCAAGATACTTGATTCCTGTTCCCTCAACTTCCAATTAAATAAGAACATATCAGAGAAGAAAATCAATTCTGTTTATAAACATTAAGTTTTGTCTGTTATTGAGAGTGAAGGAAAAATCAAACGCGACTCACGCGAGATTTTTCTCTTGGACACCTTAAATTTGATACTTGACGTATAGTTCAATTAGCACCAGAAATTGCTTATATATATATATATATATATATATATATATGTGTGTGTGTGTGTGTGTTAATTTAAAGAAAAAACAGACCACTTTGAGGCTCCATTTGTAATAATTTATTTCAACAGAGAATTTTATTTTACTCTGGATCTTCAGACTTCACTTTCAAAAGGTGAAGCGAAAAATGAATTTAAAATTTACACTTTTGACGGGCAGCATTAAGCTTATAAAAATTGATATAGAGGGTCGTGTAGTGTGAGAGAAATGGTCGAGTTTAGTGAGGGAAGGGAGAGTTTTATTTTTATATTTCTTTTTCTTATAATACTTAATATTGAGGAAGGAGGGGGTAAGGATCAGACATTGACCTATTTAATCGGTCAACTCAACGGAAATGATATGGAAAAGGAAAACTAGAAAAAAGGGGGAGGACGTCAAGAGATAAGAGATGTATGTAGGGTTTTCGAAGGAAGAAGAAGGGTGGTATAGCTTTAGCAATTTAGATAAAAAACACATATATAGGGTGTTTCAAAATTTTTGAAACAAAATGATACGGCACAAATCAGTGATAGGATAATGGGAATTACATTTAATGAAATGTAAAAGGATAACATTTTAGGATCTCTAGCCAATTAGTTTCAAATATAAACCAAAAATGTCAAGAGGAGGCCAATAGTACATGCTCCAGATGTCCGCCGTTCAGTTGAAGGCGCTGTTGAATGCAAAGTCATTGATAACACGTGTACATTCCTCTAGGGTGATGGCTTGAATCTTCTCAGTGGTGGCTGATTTCAATGCAGCAATGGTTGCCCTGATAGATGTTGTCCTTGAGGATCCCCCACAGAAAGAAATCTGAGTAGATGATGAGATGCTCCTAAACTTTTCACAGAGCCATGCCATGGTAACATTAGCAGTGTGAGGAGGAGCACCATCCTGCTGGAACCACTGTTCCTCCTCATCAAGGTCCTCAGGCTTCTCAGGCTCTTTCCATCTCAGAGGCCGCTGCTTTGTTTCAACAATTGTGAAAAACCCAATATTTATATTGGTCACACAAGCACCACACTCTCTTGGAGGTTAACTTGTCACTTATTGAAACTTAAGTAGTTTATCGTCTGTTAAAATAAAAATATCGAGCTCTCTGTGGATCAGTTTTAATAATTAATATTACTATGATACACCCGGATTATATACCAACGGATCGATTAACTGTACTATATATATATATATATATATATATATATATATATATATATATATATATATATATATATATATATATATAGGGTGTTTCACAATTCTTGAAACAAAATGATCGGGCACAAATCAAGAAGTAAAAATAAAAAGAGTAATGGAACCTACATTTATTGAAAGGTGCAATGATAATATTTTAGGATCTGCAGCTATTTAGTCTCAAACATGAACCAAAAATGTCAAGAGGAGCCCGAGTGTACATGCTCCAGGTGTCCGCTGTTCAACTGAAGGCGCTGTTGAATGCAAAGTTGTTAACTCATGCACATTCCTCCGGCCTTAATGTCAGAGAAATTTTCATAGAAAATATTCGTCCTCCGACAGGAATCGATCTTGTATCCTCTAGGGAACCGTACCTTAACAGAGGAGCGTTCGGTTAGCAAGGTCGAATTTACTGTCTTTAAACTACAATTTTCCATGATTCTCTCAGGTACATTCATATCTGCTCATGGCGTATCCAAATGTAAACAAATGACGTCTCACATTATGAAATGGACAAAGTCCGACAATTATTTTAAGACATTTTTATGTTATATACATTCTTTTTATAGTTGTAGAAATTCCTGTTTCCTTTCTGTATCTGCTATAACACTGTGACTTCGCTTAATTGACAGTTAAGAAAAGGTGTGAATATGACAAAATTAGATAACTGCCTGGTTTATCCCAAGCTCCAAATGAACAATGAAATGATAAAGTCTTTAATTAATTAAAGGCTTTATCATTTTATTACATGAACAAAAAAGGTTTGTTCTTCTATTTCTTCTGATATGTATATCTTTCCAATGCAGTATTAATACAAGTATCTGAAGTTTAAATATTTTAGGCTTTCTAAATTCTTCAAGGCTTCGCAGCCAATTTAGTTAGATTTGATCTAGACATGGCATAATGTTTATTAAAGATAGTCTTGTTGATTATTACTACTAATGAAGCGAGTTCGTTATGTGCCCCGATATAAAATTCGACATTATATGACCCTTCAATGACCGTCATGTCACAAAATGTCAACTACTCTTTATTAAGTCCATATTTAAATGTCTTGTTTCCAATAGAAAAAACACGTGAAGCACTTCAGTGCAATAGGTCAACTGAATTTGCCTTCATTAAACGTTATTCATAAAAAAAACTGTTATTTGCTGCCATGTGGATGTAAATCGTAGCTAATAATTATTCCGGAAGTTATCTCGTAGAAAATATTTTATTCTTAAACAAAGAATAAACATTTCGATGAAACCTCTTTTTATAAGTTATTGATGTGTTTCGTTTCGTTTCGTTTTGTTTTCTACATTCCGATTTTTGCATAAATTCTGACACAAGAGAATTCTCGGTAATAAAATATGGAGCTTGTTTTAAACAAAATACACCGAATTCGTATGTCATTTGATGGCAGTAAAAACGTGATTCAATTCCAACTAAAATGTGAAAACACTATTAATACGTGACATGTTTTGTCAAAGTGAATGAAATAAAATTGTGATAAAGAGATTAATAAACACACAATGGAACATTTTACATGCTGTGGTATACCGACTAATTTAGGAACGGTTTGGACAAAGATGTATGCTGATGGCCTCAGTTTAATAATCGAAGTGGACTCCCTGGACTTCAGAATACAGAAAAAAGTGACGTGTAGTCCATATTTCAGAACCAGATGTTCAGGAGTTGTGAACGATGTCAAACACATCCTTTCTACTCCTTCCTCCTTGGAGATGGCCAAGTTAAAATATAAAAATTCTTGCATGTCGATTTAGCTTAGAATGAGAGAAAGAAACATCTAATACTAATTGTAGACCATTCGAAATGGATAGTGTCCGAACTCATAGGTACAAAGAAAACTAAATGGTCACTAGAACAACTGCGTAGATGTTTGGCAGGGTACCCCTTACCGGAAGAGTTATTTTCTATAATGGACCATAGTTTGTTTCAACTGTATTCTGTAAATAGAATATGATATATAGTTTTCTGAATCCAGCCTATCACCTTGCTTCTAACAATGCAAGGATTACAGATATTTCACGTTGAAACACTGGTTTTCGTTCGATCACCGAAGTTAAACAACGTCGAGCCTGGTCAGAAACTAGATGGGTGACCGCTTGAGAATATCAGTTACTGTAAGGTGTTCAGTGGTGTAATGGATAATTGCTAGGAAGTGTTAATCAGAGAAAAGAGTTCCAATTCAAGTTGGGTTCGTTATATTCACTTATGTGCAAATACCCATTGGGAAAGCTATGTATCGGCCTGTTCTCATCCCAGCTATGAGTTAATTTATAAGACTTGTATCGCTAATTCATTATTATCGACAAATAAAAAAAACAAAACTTAAAGGCTTAAAAATATTTTCTGGCTTTAAATAACCTGTATAGGGTTGATAAACCATAACAATGATTCAATTGATAAAACAGTACAGCAGAAAGTAGTATGTGAATAGTCCGACAGTATTTGCACGTCAGCAAAACAAGAGCAAGCGATAACATCCCAACCTAGATCAAACTGTTTGATAAGATATAGATATATTCAGCATTCATTTAAGATGTTTTCTAAGGATGAAACCTGAAACAAACTGCACTTTTAGGGCTCACCACGGAACAACATGGTTCACAGCAACAAAAGAAACAGACATAACTCTATGACAATGGAAAGACAATGTCCGCGAATTGGAACCGCGTGATTGTGTCTGCTTATAATCAAGTGTGTTGCAACACAGAATGGTAACTAGGAACTATATTCAAAGAACTTGGTTCTTTCACTGTCTTGGTTAAAGTGGTAGGAACGTTCAGACCCGTTCACATGGAACGTTTTGTAAAAAAAAACAAGTGTAGGGAGCAAAATTCATCAAAGGTAACAGAAGAGAATAATGACTGAAATATAGAACTGTCAGGGCTGCAGAATATTCTGGTGTAAATGGATGGTTTGCTTTCCCATGGCTTACCAAACTTTTACAGGTTATTTAAAGCCAGAAGATATTTTTTATATTGTAAGATTTGTTTGGAGATAATAATGATTTACTGATACAACTGCTACTAATTGACACATAGGCAGCAGGAGAAAAGGTGAATTCATAATCTTTGTATCAATTTTTTTTATAAAGTTAGTGAATTTCTAATTTCGAGAAGTGAGAAACATGTTATATATTATCGCTCAGTTTCCTTTCGTTTGCTACATTCCAATTTTGTATGAATTGTAACAAGGGAAATAAATAATGTAAAAATATTATAAAGAATGTGGCCTTTGGATAAAAAAGAAAACCACAGATGTAGGGTGTCATTTTATTGTTGTAAATGTGTGATTCAATTCCAATTTGAATGGGCAAACACTATCAATACGTGACAATTCTTATAAACATTTTTTAACTTGTATTACCGCATACAAGGCAGTAAAGGCACTGATACAGAAGGATTTACAAAGTGTGGAAGAATCAGGAACAGAAACATTAATGATGGACGGGAAGAGGAAAGAGTAATTAGGAAGACAGTAGGTAGAGATCTATATTGTATTTACATTTTTGCAGATTAAAGTTGGCTGGAAAGCATGGAGCCGGAAGTGAGTTCCACAAGCGAGAAGTACAGGGAAAAATTATCAGCATAGAATTTACGGCTGCATCTAACCAGCTCAACTTTAAATTAAAAACGTCCAGATACGATCACGAAGAGCTTATTTAAACAATTACCATGAAAATGTTTATAGAAAACACACAAAGTGATAACCTTACGCCGACGAGAAAGTGAATGAAGTCTAGCTGCCAGATCAGGACCAATAATATTGCTGATTTTTCTTTGGAGTTTATCATGGAGCTCAAGATAAATAGTAATGATATTTTGTAGTGATTTGTAGATTAACTAATTAACATCCGGGTTACTACGATTAGGAGATGGGAAGGAAGAGGAAGAACAAGGCATAAGTATTAAGTAGCAACACGAAAGACTGAGGACTTCACAAAATATTTCATATTATGTCTTTCTTATTCTTTTATCAAGATTTTTAATGTCTTCTGCAACTAAGAAAGGTTCTAAGCATCGACACAAATGAAAATCTGTAAGTACAATGTCTGGAAGATGTGGAAGAATCTCCGATTTTAAAAATTTTAATTTTCTTCGTGTTGTTTTTGCAAAGTGTTCACATACATTATCGTGCTGGGAAATAACATGTTGTCTGTTTAGCAAATCAGCACACTTTCGATATAATGCCCTGTTTACTTGATCAGAATGCTGGCAAGAACAGTATGAAATGATAGATTTTATTCCTAGTGACATATATCTTGGACTTGATTTGCGTGGAGTTCTGGTTTTAGTGTTAGCACAGCTTTTCTCAATTTGGTGATAACAGGTCTTTGTCATTTACTGCTTGTTGACATGCAAAACCATTTTTGATCCCCTCTAAGAATGAGAAGGGAAAAATGAATGTTTAGTATTCCTGGTTGAAAGGCTGATTCAGACAGTGGAAAGTGGTGTTCAATTCTAACGCGAAATGCTTAAGGATTCGAAGACACCACTTAGCATGTTTTCCACATTCAACTCGGAAATGCATTATCAACGACACTGTCGAATAGAGGAGACGAGAAATGAATTCTCGACCCAGTTTCCGACAACTGAACTTTATAATGGCTTTGGTTGCTTGACTCATAATTCATAAATTGAAACACGTACTGACTTTCAGAACATTCTAGTAATTTTCTTACTAGATATATTTTACACGATTGTTCACCCAATACACAAAAGAAGAGCCACTCGAGGTAGAGTGCTACTAAATTAGATTCCCTTAAGGCTGTAATATATAGAGTAAACAAATGAAAACAAAATGTTCAAAAAGGGACACAGGTTCACATCCTGCCACATCATGTGCATCTAAAAATAAATACGCTTAAATTCACCTCCATTCGGGCTGTGCGCCAACGGCTTAGGGGTAAATTCAGCCGGGTTTCGATCCTAACTAGAGGATGGATTACAACATATATGGATGACAACATATATATATATATATATATATATATATATATATATATATATATATATATATATATATATATATATATATTCAAGAAGAATACAATCCAGGTAGAATTCAATGTCCAGGACAGAGTAAGAATATAATATAAAGTTTCAAACACTAATATTCTATGGTTATAGTTTATTATATTCTAATCGTAATCATGATTCAATTCATCAGACCTACAAATTTGTAAGTCTGATGATTTGGATCGTGATTACGATTCCAATGTGAAAAATTATAACCATGGAATATTAGTGTTTGAATTTTTTAATATTATATATATATATGCACCTCCACTAATTCTGTATTCGTAAGGTTTAAAATGAATTACGATATATATATATATATATATATATATATATATATATATATATATATATATATATATATACAGATACACCTCCACTAATTCGGTATGCGTAAGGTTTAAAATGAATTACAGTATATATATATATATATATATATATATATATATATATATATATATATATATATATATTATGATAGTTCTGATTTTATTTTATATTTGTAAGTATTTTTAGGTACATATGATTGTATTTGATATCCTTATGGGGTTGCAATCGCCGAATGATAGTGCCAAATTGTCGTATGTTTGTGAAATCGACCTATGAAACGACGAATTTAAAAAAAATGTGCTGTGCATAATACGCATCCCTAATTTTTGCTTATTATTCTTTAATGCTTATTATTCTTTAATTTAATTATTCTTATACATGGGAAATTATAGGTATGTATATATATATATATATATATATATATATATATATATATATATATATATATATATATATATATGAATACGATTGCGATTAAGCTTTTTAATATATTATTCTTGCATGCATAAATTCTTTCTTTTTGTGTACATCACTGTATCCTGAAAGAAAAGAAATCATTTGGACGAATAACAGAAAAATATACCAAAAAACTTAGTTCCTTGCCTGTCGTCTTCAATGAAACCTTATTTCTTGACTTTGAGTTTTGTTGAAATTAACTTGCTCTTCAGGGGTGAGATAAATCCATTGACGGATATCTCATTAAATAATATTTTCTCTCAATAAATTCACCTGATATATCTAACCATTAATGAACGGATTAATCTCTGTGAAACGAAAAATCCACGAATATTTTTTTGAACTTCTTTTTATTTTAATTTGTTTATATTAATCCTGGGCTTCATAATATTCAGCGCTTTTCCAACTTTTCACGATTGCTTGCTTTAAAAGCGTCATATTAATAAAATGGTGAACTTTTTTGGCAGGTGTGCTTAATATTTATTTCATATCTATATCTGTATGTCAAAAATTTAAGTCAATCCTGTTATTTTTTTTTAAAGTGGCCCAAAATTAGTCGTTATGTACTTTTAATAAGAGAAAATTAGTATACATCGTTAAATAAACGTGAAGCCTGAATTTTTTATTAGAAATTTTATTATGAAAAAAGACAAAAAGCCTTTTATGATTAAATCTGGCTCTCGTCAAAATATCCTTCGTTAGCCTTAAATTTTAGCACAAATTTTTGGCATTCACTGGAAAGATTTGTCAAAGTATAAGTTTGATAATTCATTCCATTCTTTTTTCCATCAATCTAATTATTCCTATTCATTTTTTTCCTCTTCTCTCAAGTTCAAATATATATATATATATATATATATATATATATATATATATATATATATATATATATAAATAAAGAGCAGGATAGACTGGGTTCTATAGTGTTTGGTGGCAACTGCTCTAGGAGAGAAAGACAACTCTGAATTCAAAACCTGCGGAGGTCGTTTGGGGACCTTGTGGCACGTAGTGCGCCAGGTCTCTGTAATCGTCTCTTCAAAAAGTGTGGATGGTCCTGCACGAAACCTTCGCCACTATAATCGAATCTCATGTGCCGGTGTCGGGCTGTCGGTTTTCTTGGGAACTGATCTGCTTGACCCACATACGTCGAATTCGACGGGAGAGTCGAGTATATATATATATATATATATATATATATATATATATGATTGTGAAAATGTGTGGGGGTGGATTATAATGGGACAAAGTGTGAAAGCATTTAACAACGCTTTTCGCTGTCTTGTCTTAGGTTCTGTTTATTCATGTTTTAATGAAAGA